AACTGGTGATGAAAGAAACAAATAAATATACAATAACTACTCTTCAGTACAATATCTGCTTTTCCAGCTTTAAGAAAATTTTATCTGCAATCTTTGAACCATCAGACTATTAAAACAATCACTACTTTTTTTGCAAGAATGAAAAATGAGTAAAGTGTTGTCCAAGGCTTTATTTTTAGAGAATAGTCTTGTACTTAAGACCATGGACAGGATTTCAAAATCTGGGTTAAACTACGCTCCAGGCTTTCTGTGTGGCATTGGACAAGTCACCTAATCTCTCTCTGCTTCAGTGCCTTGTTAGGAAAAATTATGCCCATTTTACATTTTACCCTTTGTGTGTCTTGCCTAGTAAGACTGTAGACTCTTACTGTATGTATGTACAATACTTAGCACAATAGAGGCTTCAATCCAAGTTGAATTATTTCCTTGGTTGTACATACACAGCTAAAGTAAGCTTAACTATTTGCAGTAATTAACTTGTACAAAAATACGGTCCAGCTCAGTGTCCTCTGATAAGTAGAGTAGGAGTAGAGAGGTTATTTTTACCTCTATTTGGCACTGTTGCTGGAGTGCTATGTTCAGTTTGGTGCCCGCAATTCAAGAAGGATGTTGATAAATTGGAGAGAGTTCAGAGAAGAGTCATGAGAATGATATTAAAGGATTAGAAAACATGTCTTTATGGTGATAAAGCTCTCTCTGTCTATCTCCTTATCTTAACAAAGAAAAGGTAAGGGGTAACTCGATTAATCTAGACGTACCTACATGGGGAGGGGGAAATAATTAATAATGGGCTCTGCAGTCTAGTGGAGAAAGGTGTACATGATCCAATGGCTCAAAGTTGAAGCTGGACAAATTCAGACTGGAAATACGGCATATGTTTTTACCTTCACTGTCAATTAACCATTGGAACAATTTACCATGGGTCATGGTGGATTCTCCATTGCTGACAATGTTAGAAAAACATCCAATCTTGATTTTAAAGAGAAGCTCCAGGAATTATGTGAGGGACATTCTATGGCCCATGTTATACAGGCCAGACTAGATCATCACAATGGTCTCTTCTGGTCTTGGAATCCATGAGCTTTTCTAAAGTGCTTATCAATCTTCGGGTGCAGATATGTTGTAGCCCTCAAAGGAGACTAAATATTATATTCTCATTTGAACTACCAGCTGTTTGTATTGTGTCCTCCTTTGATATGGCTGAGTTAGACACTTCCCACAATTTTAAACAGGAAGCCATTTTTACTATTTATGGTCATAACATTTATGCCTTTCATGTGAAGAAAAAAATCTCACTTGCATTTGTAGCTTAAAACCTTTCAAAAATTTCCAGTGCCAGCAAACGGTTATGTACCTCTTTAAGCTAGGATCAACCAAACCTTGGTGTAAGAGTTGGTTTCCAGCTTTCCCTATTGGCAAGAATCTTGGAATACTATTTTTTTTTTTTTTTTTTTTTTTTCTTGAGCAGGCATCACAGATCCTGAAAACTACACAGGGTGCAAGAAAATCCTCCTTGATGTTTGGGTATCATATCACACAGGAACACTGTTCTGTTTTGGTACAGAAATTCTCAGTGTCTCCTCAAATGTCCTGTTATCAAATACTCCCCTTTGTTCTGTACAGTTGGATAACTGCAATACTGTATCATGGGAACTCAAGCCCAGCTGCTGATCAGCTTCTACACTGAAGCATGTTAATATCAACGACAAATCCTATCCTATGTAGTCTCATTGATAGAATCCAGAAGTCCAGCTTTGAAGGATGACCTGATCTTCAGATATTGTGAAATATCTCTTTAAATAGGCAGTGTACAGTAGAATCCATTTATAGTGCACTACATCTGTAGTTAAACTTCCTTATAGCAAATGAAAAATTGAGATTTGTTTTGGTAATATAGAAAGTTGTACCTAATATTTTAATCATTTCTAATCTTAAACCAGGGTGGATAAAAATCAATGTGTGTGTGTGTGTGTGTTTTTTTTTTTTTTTTTTAATTCATAATCAGCTTTTTTTTTTTTAAATAAAATGCTTTTTGAGGAAAAAACTAAGATACATTATAGCTCAAAGATATCTCATCATGGAATAGGGATTATAAATTCTAATTCTACAGTATGAGACAATATATTCATGTAATGTTTAAGAAAAGCTTTGTAAATGATTTCCAATAGTTCATGGATTAGGGACCCAATTTTATGGGGTTCCACAGGCTTCTGTATAGATTATTTAGGTTAATCTTTCTATCTACCCCGTGGGACTCAGTGCTCAGTATAGAAGATACCATCAGAGATGCTTAGTTTTGCAGTTCTCAAACTGGTTTTGTGTCTCCAGAGGTAACAGGTTTAAAAAAAAAAAAAAAAATTTATAGAGATGAGAAATAACAGACCTCAACTCTATTGACTTTCTGTACACAAATTTGCAGAGGGACAATCCCTTAACTCTCTAAAACTGCAAAGTTTCAAAAAGTTCAATGAATAGAAGATTGTTGGGGGCGGAATAGATCTGGATAAGGAGAAGAAGTCTGGAGATAAATATGAGAAGCGAGGGACATATGCTTGTTTTGTTAAAATAGTATACGTTTGCTGTTGGGGCGGGAAAAAAATCCAGAATACTTAACACTGTTGTTTTAGTTAAATAAAACAATTTAAATGTCTGTCTGGTGATATTTGCCTCCTAATACAGCATGGCAAGAAACTCCTCCAACTATTAATGATTAACCTTTTGAATTAGAGAGAGTTCACCTCCCAATGACTTCATAAATATCTACTTCAATTACCTTTGGTAATTGAAATAACCAAACAATCATTCATTTTCTGATATAGCTGTAAAACTAATCTGAAAAGTTTTCAAAATAAATCACTGTTTAAAATGTATAGTGTGTACCTTCTAAAAATGAGACCTACATCTATCTCTGAGTTGCGAAAAATATGTATTATGGTTATAACAACCAAGAATGCACTTTTATGTAGAAAACCATGATTAAATCAAGTCTTCCTGACTAGTGATTTAAATCAAATCCACCCTATCTTAAACTATACATATTTGCAAAAATTTTGCATTTCACCTTTAATATTATGTAAACATAGTTGTGGACTAGCACTATTGAGCTATTATAAATCTCAAGGGAATGTGGTAATTGTAAGAGTGAAGTACTCTATCTAATAGGTTGTCACATCAGAACATTCAAGAATTACCTTAATTCAATTTTTTGATTGAGATTTTAATGGCTCATGTACAGTCTTGTCAAGAAAATATTTTTGTATATACATACAAGACGTCTCCCTGTAGGGTTGCTTTTAAATTGAGATGTTTTAATACTTACACATTTTAATTGCTTGATAGTGGTACAATAGCTTGTTGTAGTCTGACGTCTGATGAAGTGGGTATTTACCCATGAAAGCTTATGCTCCAATATGTCTGTTAGTCTATAAGGTGCCACAGGACTCTTTGTCGCTTTTTACAGATCCAGACTTAAAAGCGACAAACACAGCTACCTCTCTACTTGTTGTAGTAGTTTCTGATAAATAGTTCTTAAGCAGGGTTTGTTTTACTTTTCAAAACTTTGACTTTCACTGTACTTTTTTTTTTAAGGCATGGATGCCAATGGCATCTGTTGAGAACAGAATTTTTTTGGCAGGTGGTGGAAAGGACCTCTTACGTTTATTGAGCAGCTAGCTTTCTTGTATTGCAAAAAGGTGCAGTATTAAGGCAAGTTGACAACTAGTCACATTAATTCAGGTGTTTAAAATGGTTTTTAAAATTACAGTGAGGGGAGACTAGGCAGAGGTGGAAATGATCACTAAGGAGACACCACCCATTAAGGATAGATTGTGTCAATATTTTTCCTTTTGGTCAGTTGCTTGCTTTTTAGAACAGCTATCTTAAAGGTGAGGTGGGGAGGGAAGAAATGCAGAAGAGCAGGCTTGTAATGTAGATTTTTGTTGGGGGGGAGGGAAGAGAGGCCTAAATATTCCCCTCACTTACTTTGCTTTCAATGCTCAGTCATTGCTTACAATAAATACATAATGTGGCATTCTACACCAATGATACAGCTTACAGCATCTATTCATAATTTTTTTAACGGGGGCAGGGCTGACCCCATGCTGACCTCCTCCCCCTTTTCTGTGGTAACTAAATATGGCTGCCATGTGTTACAAACAGGGCCGGCTCCAGCTTTTTTGCCGCCCCAAGTGATGAAGCAATAGAAATAAAAAAAAATAAAGCCGATCGGCAGCACTTCGGCGGTAACTCAATTATGCCGCTTCATTCTTCTACAGCAATTTGGCGGCGGGTCCTTTGCCCCCCTCTCTTCCTTTTCGGTGGCACTTTGGCGGCAGCTCAAAGAGGAAGAGAGGTACTGAGGGACCCGCCGCTGAAGACCCGGACGTGCCGCCCCTTTCCATTGGCCGCCTCAAGCACCTGCTTCCTTTGCTGGTGCCCGGAGCCGGCCCTGGTTACAGAATTAACTGGAGAGGCTCTACAGTGGCAGAGTGATCACATCCCCCCACTCTCCCCTAAAAACATGGATGGAAAGTGACCACAGCATGTTGTGATGCATTGAGCACCAAGTGACAGCCTGACAGGAGGGGATGGCATCATCTTGGGGGAATAGAAGGGTCTGCCATGACTTCACATCATGGCACCATGGCGGTTTGTGGCAAAGGGTTGACATCACTGCCCTGGCAATGGTGCTTTACCCTGAAGTGAGGGTGTCCAGCATCTCATGATGGCAGTGTGGGGTGAGGTGATATCACACTGATTACATCACAATGAGGATGACATGGATTGATGACATCAGCACGAGGCGGCAGCGAGGTAACTGAAGCTAACCAACCTCCCCGCCTCTACTGCAGCAGCCCCCTGCGCCTCTTCTTCCTTATGTAGTGGCTAGCGGGTCCCGCCTCCACAGGCTGATTGGCTGTGGCCGGCAGGCACTGAGCGCTGATTGGGCAGCGTGGCTGCTCGTCAGCGGGTCCGGACCTGGCGCGGCCCGTGAGGGGGCCGCGACGAGAGGCCATTGTGGCGAGGGAGGCCTTGGGAGGTGGAGGAGTGAAGCCGCTACCGCGGGACCCAAGCGCCGAGCCGCAGGAGCAGACGGTGAGGGAGGGAAGGAGGCGAGGGCAGCGGGAGGGGGGAAAAGGGGAAACTGCGGCCGGGCGGTTTCTGTAGCCGGGCGGAATGGGGGGGAGGGGCGAGTCTCCAGGCCTTGGGGCCAGTTGTGTGGGGACTTGAGCCCGCCACCCCGTGCGGGTCCGGCTTGCCGAGCCCGCTCCCCTGAGCGCGGAGCTGTCACCGGAAACTTTCCCGGTTGTCCCTCCTCCCCCGCTTTGCCCGGCGGGCTGTCGCTGGGGCCCGGCCCGAGGCGGTGCCCCTGGAGCTGCCCCGCAGAGGGCCGGGGCTGTGTTTTCGCCAAACGCCCCCCCCTCCTCCCGGTGCCGCAGTCTGTCAGAGCCCAGGCCCGCCGGCCGCGAGCTCCTGCCCTCGGTTCGCATCCTCCGTCCTGCCGCAGCAGAAACCGTCTCAGGTGAATGCCCGTCCGCCTCGGGGGTGCTCAGCCTCGTGCCGCCAGGGCGGGGGGGGGGGGGGTAGTAGCGGGGGTGGGGGGAAGGAATTACCCCCCCCCCCGGGTGTAATAAACTCTATGGGAAATTCATTGTTAATAGGCTTCCCCAGAGAACCCGAGCAGCGTTTATTGCCCAGTGACAGGTCGGGTACTTCAGGACTGTTCCCTGCACTGAGATGTTGGTCTAGTTGTCTTGCTTATGTGCATGGGCCCCCTGTTTTAAAAGGAGCCCGTCTTCTCGGGGCAACTGGTATGCTATTGTCCGGCCGCCAGTCTGCGTTTCTGGACCATTAAATCGGTATAAAAGCCCCCTGCATCTTGAGCAGCATACATTGAGTATGACTGATCTGGAAAAAGGTGTCATCCCAAATCAATGGGCAGTGTTGCTCAAAGTGTAAAAATGTGATTTAAAAATTGACCTATCAACATGACTTTAGCTTTCTGTTGGCTGAACCAGAATAATTTCACCACCAAAAAAGATGGGTTTTCTTGTTTGTTTGTTTTTGTTAAAGATACTCTCTTTAAATCTGTTAAATCACTATGTGGCAGCATAATCTGTGGTATGGAAAAACAGCCCTGGGAAGCTTGTCACTGGCTGTACTGCTAAAATGTGCTTTAGAGGTAGCTGTTGACTAGCCTTTTGCTTGGAGAATGAGTACAGTCACTGCAGCAGTCTAGAACAGAGGTGGGCAAACTATGGCCCACAGTCCACATCTGGCCCACGGGACCTTCCTGTCCGGCCCCTGAGCTCCTGCCCCAGGAGGCTAGCCCCCGGCCCCTCTCCCACTGTTCCCCCTTCCCCACAGCCTCAGCTCGCTCCGCTGCCGGCACAGTGCTCTGTGCGGCGGGGCTGCGAGCTCCTGGGACAGCGCAGCTGCAGCCTGACCTGGTGCTATGAGCTGCACGGTGGCGTGGCTGGCTCCCGCCCGGCGGTGCAGCTGCCTATCCTGGTGCTCTGGGTGGCGCAGTTGTAGCGCCGCCAGCCACCAGTGCTCCAGGCAGCGCAGTAATGGGGCAGGGAGTGGGGGGGGTTGGATAGAGGGCAGGGGAGTTCGGGGTGGTGCTTGGGGCGGGGGTGTGGATAGGGCTTGGGGTGGTCAGAGGGTGGGGAACTGGGGTTGAATGGGGCAGGAGTCCCCTGGGGGGCAGTCAGGAAGGAGGGGGGGTTGGATGGGGAGGCAGGGGTTCTGGGGGCGGTCAGGGGACAGGGAGAAGGGGTGGTTGGATGGGGCAGGGGTACCCTGGGGGCAGTCAGGAATGAGAGGAGGGGTTAGATGGGGTGGTGGGGGTTCCGGGGGCTGTCAAGGGACAGGGAACAGGGGGGAGGTGGATGGGGCAGGAGTCCCAGGCGGGCCGTCAGGGGGCGAGAAGCAGGAAGGATCGGATAGGGGGCGGGGGTGGGCCACGCCTGACTGTTTGGAGAGGCACAGCCTCTGCTAACCGGCCCTCCATGCAATTTTGGAAACCCGATGTGGCCCTCAGGCCAAAAAGTTTGCCCACCCCGGTCTAGAAGCTTTAGTTGCCAAACATCTAATCTGAAGATACTTTGAATCTCTAGGAGTGTATACTATTTCATTCTAACTGCTTGACAATTATTGGTTTCTTGTATTTTATGTACATTACGTCTGTTTTGTTAGTAACTGTCATAACTACTACATTTCAATAGTAGTTCAGCTGAATAGATTTCAACACTAGAAGGGATCATTATAATCATCTAGTCTGGTCTGACCTATTGCTATACAATATATACCAGCTGTGACAGAACTTTACCTTCAGAACTAAGATGCTGTCTCAGCTTACTGCTTTTCAAGATCTAAATTCACTATCAAGGTTATTAGGTTAAAAACTGATTATCCTAAAGAGTCTAACATTCCAGAGTGTTCAAAGTCACGATCGGGGCCAGGAGCGGGTCTGCAGCTGGGCTGGGAGTGGGCCTGCGGCTGGTGTGCCATGAGCGGAACTGCGGCTATGAGTGGGGCTGGAACTGCGGCCAGGAGCAGGGTGGGAGAGGGGCTGTGGGGGAGCGGGGGCTGAAGCTGGGGCAGCGGCCGGGAGCAGAGCCACGGGCAGGACTGGAACTGGGGGGCCGCGGTTGGGAATGGAGCCGGAGCCATGGCTGGGAGCTGGTGTCTGGGTCTGGGCTGGAGTAGAGCTGAGGGCAGAGCAGGTTGGGGACAGAGCAGGTTGGGGACCACTGACCTACCAGTAAGGTACACGCTAGGTTTAAGTGCATTTATGGTACAAAAAATGATAGTTAAAAACAAAAAAGTGACACTGAAACTTTCCATATCTTGTTTCTGTGACTTCATCTTTTCATTTTATAAACTTACAAATTTTATCCTAACTACCAGTATTAGAATCTCAACCTGGGATTTAAAAATCAAGTTATGCTTCTTGAGATTCTTTGCCCTTCATTGCCAGCAATAAAGATTCTTCTATAAAATTGATGTTTATATTTTTGTTGAAGTGCCTTTCTCCAGACCTGTATTTAGAGTGAAATACTAACAGTAGTAACTTGGTATGTCTCTGAAATAAGCAGATGTGACTTGAAGATATACAGAGAATGGATCTGTTTAGTAAGAACATGCCACTTTTGAATAGTTACTCTCCTGACTGTAATTACACTTTAAATACTGCATGTAAACTAAAATGTATTCACAAGTTTACTGCATCTGACATGCTATATTAGCCTTGTGGATCTGGAACTTTTCTCGTGGTTGCAACTAGTTGGAAAACAAAATAACTTTCAGATTGGACCACCCAGTGTATGTAAGCTGCTTTTTTATGCACCATGTGCATATTTATCACTTTTGTATAATCCTTTTAAATTGGTAGTACATAATATTGATTCAAGAGATGTCAGTTTATGAAGATGTTGGTGAGATTATCATCACTGTCCATCTTTCATAGTATGAATACCTTAGTTTTCTGTTTCTATATTGATCATAATTGTTTCACTAAATAAAATGAGGACACCAGTAACTGAAAACTTCTATTTTTGAAATTGAATGTGATGCTAAATTCCAGTGGAGTCCTTTACTTTCCATACCAGTGTTGGGCCTACTGATACTGGTCTACAGTCAGGATGTACGGAATGTGCTTTGTATACCCATGACGTATATGATAGGTCAAATAAACTATTGTCAGTTAAGAGACTGGTACCTGAGAGTCAAGAAATCGAGTTGACTGACAAAGTTGGTGTTCTCGAACCCTAATCAAACCAGTTTCCAACAGTCTGGAGTTCAGAGAGCGTTTATCCTGGCTTCTAAATCAGCTTAACTTTAGGATAGTTTTATACAGTCAAATTCTGTCAAAATGCCTTTTGAGCGTGTAGCTTCCTCCTTCCTTTAATGCTTCATCTTTAATGCTATCAGAAAAAAAGTGTTCTTAACTCAAGTTAGCTAACTCAAGGTAAAACCCTGGTAAAGACAAGGCAATTTGTATTCTTCACATGAGTTAGCAGGTTGAGTTGAAGCCTGTGGGCAAGCCTAGTCTCTAACTTCACCTACTGATTTGTATGAAAACTACAAACTGCCTTTTCTCTACTAGAAATTTACCTCTAGTTATCAATACACCTTTTACTCCTGGGGGAATTCTGTGCCACTGTGCAATGCAGAATTTTGGAGAAATTAACATGTGTGCAGAATTTCCTTCCCCCCACAGAAATGGGCTGCAGTGCTGCTAGCTGCCACTAGGGGCCACTGGACCCAGCAGAGCTCAACTCCACATAGAAGTCACTTCTGGGGGGAGGGAGAGGGAGCTAGAGGGTTCCTGGCAGCTGCAGTTCCCAGCATGCCCTTAGGGAAGGAGAGGGTGGTGCATCAGGCTGTTTCTCTTTCTGGATCCCTGGGCTCTTGGGGAAGGGGAAGGCAGGTGTCTGGGCTGTGGGGGGCCATGGCTGGGCTCTGGGGGGGAGAGGGTGCGGTTATCTGAGCCGAGGGGGCCCCGCGGCTGGGATCTGTGGGGGAGGGAGTGCAGATATCTGGGCTGGAGGGGCCCTGTGGCTGGGCTCTGGGGGGGAGGGGGTGCGGGTATCTGGGCAAGGAGAGCCTTGTGGCTGGGCTCTGAGGGGAGAGGGTGCGGTTATCTGAGCCGGGGGGGCCCCGTGGCTGGGATCTGGGGGGGAGGGTGTGCAGATATCTGGGCTGGGTGGGCCCTGTGGCTGGGTTCTGGAGGGGAAAGGAGGAGGTGCAGGTATCTGGGCTAGGGGGACCCCGTGGCTGGGCTTTGGGGGGGAGGGGGTTTGGGTGTATTGGCTGGGGGGGCCATGGCTGGGCTCTGAGGGGTAGGAGTTGTGGGTGTCTGGCCCTCTGGCTGGGCTCAGGGGGAGTGGGGGCAGAGAAGCAGGAACTGGGTTGTCATAGGGGTTTCTTTAACTCTCTACTCCTGGGGGAATTTTTGTGGGTGTCTGTATAGTTACAGACAAACTTGTTGACAGGTATTTTGGAATAAATTTGCAGAATTTTAAAATATTGTGTGCAGAATTTTTAACTTTTTGGTGCAGAATGCCCCCAGGAGTAAGGACCTTTTTTTT